TTTTTTTTATGCATGCAGCGTATTCCCTTTACGGGCCCCCGCGTGCGTGTATCCTTTCGTTTGCCTCGCCGTGATCGTTATTCTTTACTTTTATTGAACGGAGACAACCTAGATTTGCGTGTTGAGGGTTTTGTTTCTTTTTACAACCCCACCAATAACCACCTTTCTCTTGATCAACAGTTTCTACCACAAACAGCCGCTTTTCTTATGGTTCTTAATCTTATCGCGTATGCATAAACCCTAAACCCTAAACCCTAAACCCTAAACAATAAACAATAAACAATAAACAATAGATACTAAATGATAGGGTGTTTATGGTTCTTTATCTACTCGCGTATGTATTAACCCTAAACCCTAAACCCTAAACCCTAAACCCTAAACGATAAACAATAAACAATAAATACTAGGGTGTTTATGATTCTTAATCTTATCGCGTATGTATAAACCCTAAACCCTAAACCCTAAACAATAAACAATAAATACTAAATGATAGGGTGTGTATGGTTCTTTATCTACTCGCGTATGTATTAACCCTAAACCCCAAACCCTAAACCCTAGACACTAGTGTGTTCATCTATTGCCGTAAACCCTAATCAGTAGATAAACGATACACACGAAACAATACACAAACCCTAAACCATAAACCCTAAACCCTAAATAAACCCTAATTGCTGAAGGATGTGCTGCGTGGGTGCTTTGTTTCGTTCTCTATATCTCCATCTGTTTTAGGGTTTAGGGTTTAGGGTTTAGGGTTTAGGGTTTNTGCTTTGTTTCGTTCTCTATATCTCCATCTGTTTTAGGGTTTAGGGTTTAGGGTTTAGGGTTTAGGGTTTAGGGTTTAGGGTTTTTATTTATTTTATAATTATGTTTAATTACTTCTTTTTGTTTTTTTAGGGTTAGATTGTAATGCATATATCTATTGATTTTGTTTTATTATATATTTGTTTTATTATTGTTTGTGTGTATAATATATTATATATTTGTATATAATATAATATAATATAATATAATATAATAT